GTAGGCATTTTAGATACTTTACCATGATTAGGTGTGAGAGATAGTCCATTAAATATCCCCCCCTTTTTTCCATTGGCATTTAGTGAGCACTGCTTGATTCATGGTCCCTCATACAAGCATGGGACATTGTTGCAAAGGTAGGAGTTGGAAAATGTATATTTATACTGATTGTGTAGCAATAAGTAAAATTGAATAAATGTGATTTCTTCAAAAATCATCACTTGATCAAATGTTCTCGTCATAACATTCTTTAAATGTTCTTTAATTATTAATAGGGTTTGTGCTTCCTGACTCTCAAACAGTCCTGTTTGAGACACAACAAACAACACTGTCCTGTTCATCAATTTTGGCAGGAGAGTTGGACACTTAGGACTTAGAATCACATACATGAACTATAATTGTATTACTGATCATCATTTGATGTGCTCCATGGAGCCATGAACAGCTGTTAAAGAGACAATAAAGCATAATCTTACGTATGGCTTTATATTGTTTGTTCATTCACTCATTCACTACTCTAAATTAGGCTCAGTGACCTGTACTTAGATAGAGCTGAGTATCCATATTAAACTCTCTCAACCTTTCCATTGTTCACTGTTCAGCCAGATAACAGCACACGTTTTCCAGCCTGGGCCTACAGCCAGCCTGCTGCCCTCCACTGGCATGTGTCATGTTATAGGTCTTGTAGATGAAATGGAAATGAAAGGGCTACAGAACCCCTATCCCTTTGTCCAGTCTGAGACCATTATTCAGCTGTGTTTACCAGTCAGGGTCAGTTCAAGGCTGGAGCAACATGCCAGTATTTGTTAAAAACTCCAAATTAACTTTGATTAGATTTCATTCAGATAGGAGCTCAACTAGAGTGGGTTAATTGTTCTGCCTGTCAGAGATGCTCTTTGGAAAAAGTAGCAGTGAAGTTCAGGCAGAAATTCTTTTCTGTGCTTCTGGCCAGAATGAAAACAACAGCATGAAGCTCAGCTAAGAGAATTTGGGCAGAACAGATAAACTAATAAGAGGATGTGTGCGTGTGTAGTTTGTTACTTGTCATAAGCTTTCATCAATATTGCCTGCAAATTTAATTATATTATTAGATATAACCATATATATGACAACCAGGTAACATGCCTGCTGTTTTATAATATTTCCATTGGTTGATATGTAGGAATCACTCATGAGATTTATTGTTATGTGTTAGTGATGAGGCTAAATGCATTTATTCTTGATGGCAAAATACATAAATTAATTAATACATACAGTACTCTGAAAAAGTCAAAAACCATCCTTTTATTACATTCTTTTATTTCCCAGACAGAACTGCTGTTAAGTACAAGTTAGGCTTTTTCAGTGTCAAGAAAAAAACAGATAAACATATATTTAACAGAAAATTACATATAAGCCATATCAAAATAATTCATAATGATATTATGAAAGTTTACAGTATTTAATGTGTCCATGCTTTACCTTAATTACAGCTTGTGTTCTTTTTTGGAAGACTTGCCTTCAGTTATTTGAAGAAGTATGCAGGGATATTTTTGAACATCTCAAAAGTTCAGTCTTAGAAGTTGGTTGCATTTTTTGCCTTTCGCTATTCATGGAATCCCAAACACATTCAGGGTTGTCAAGATCTGGTCTCTGGGGTGGCCAGTCTATTGTTTTGAAAACAACAGCTGTGTCTGTGTTAGATTAACAAATGTTCTTATTTTTTTGTCTATTACATTTTTTCAGTAAATCTAATCTAACAGCTACACATCCGTTTAGACTCAATGTTGAGTTGTCTTCTCACAGTGGAAGTGGAAGCTTTAAGTACTGTTTATCCGATGGTGATAGATTCAGTGGTCTACTAGGTCTTGCACAGTTGTTAGGAGCCCTCAAATAACTATTTAAAGTTTTGGAAACACTTGTTTTTTCCTTTGTCTTTCCTTTTGCTTATACAGGTGGATTATCATACATTTAAGCTCCTCAGAAACATCTGCTGAAAAATAAATAACTTGTACTTAATGACTGGTTTGAGTGATAGTTAAATAAATGAAAGGTGGTCTCGGATTTTTGCACAGTGCTGTATAAAAAGCGTAAGTTTCAGGTTTTGTTTTAGGATCCTCTTGATAAAGCGTCTTTGTGGTTTTGCTTTTCTGTGCCTCTTTACACTTTAAAAGAACTCCTGCTTTAAAATATATGTGCAGAGGTTGATGTAAACTCTTTGGATAGTGTGACTTACTCTCAGCAGCCAGCCTCACTGAGCAAGTGCACCCAGCTTTAAAAGGCAGTTGGAAACCATGCTGCACTTTTGCTCCTAGCCGCAGGCTACTTTACATGAACTTGGAGGCGGCCTGGGATGAGAGCGATTGAGGTGTAGTCTTACTCCGCAGGTCAGTCAGGATCCACGCTGTGCCGGGATCTAAGCGCGTGTGAGCGAGTTCAATTGTTGTGGAACACAAGGCTTTCCCTCCCTGCTGCTCCCGGGCATCGGTGCCCGGCTGTGTTGCCTCATGGCCCGTGCTTCATTCCTTCGTTTGAAATCATTTAATCTGATGGGTTACATTTTGTCAAAACACTGTCTCATTAACTGTGGTGTGTGCACTTTGTTCCCCACTCACCCTTTTGTACTGCCTGTGGGGGCGCCGGCATAAACACACACACTCACACAGACAGACATAGAAAGGGACTTTTCCTAAGTGAGGTTAGAGCCATGAATGCAGGCTTTGTTCAAAGATATGCCACTATGGCCAAGAGACAGTTCTTAATGTCTTAATTCACCCATGTAAATAGAAGAGTGAATGTTTATAGATTCACTTTGAGGAGGTGGGGATAGGTTTTTGCTCTTTTAGTATGTTCTGAGCAGGGATTTCTCTTTGAAAAAAATCTGAGCCAAACCAGGAAAATCAAATGACAGGAGGAGTCATTTTCATTGACAGGCTGGGCTCTAAAAGGTCGATATTTTAACATTGTTTGCCTGCTTAGAAAGTTTGCGGTTTTAAGTACCTAAACGAGTTGTAATCCATTTTTACATTTCCAATTTTCTGATTTTATCCTGTAGAAATAAACCTGCTGTTTTTTGTTACTGTGCTTATTTGACTGATATTTCTTGTGAAGTCCCTCAAGGTTCAGTTTTAGGGCCTTTGCTTTTCTCTTTGTACATGCTACCTCTAGGTGATGTCATTAAGAAACATAATAATACAAATTTTCATAGCTATACTGACATCCAGTCATACATTTCCATTCCCTCTCATGATCAAGACTCTGTAGACAGACTAACCAGCTTTTTGTCAGATATTTCTCAGTGGATGTCGCAAATTTTTCCGCAATTAAATAACGAGAAAACAGAAATACTGTTCAATGGTGCAGAAACTCAGAGAAAGCTGCTTTATGAGAAACTTGTTTTTTTCACTTCATATACCAAACCTGGGTGTGATCTTAGACTTTGAGCTCTGTTTTATCCCCCATGTAAACACAGTCACTAAAGTAGCTTATTATCGTTTGAGAAATGTCGCTAAAGTTCGGCCTTTTCTCTCTCAGAGCAATGCAGAGAAACTAGTTCATGCATTTGTTACAAGCAGACTTGATTACTGTAATGCTCTTCTTACTGACTAAACAATCCATCCTCTACAACTAGCACAAAATGCAGCAGCACAGATCCTAACAAAAACAAAAAAGAGAAATCATATCGGTTGTGTTCTGAAAGAACTGCACTGGTTACCTGTATCATTCAGGATAGATTTTAAAGTTCTGCTACTAGTTTTTAAGGCTCTAAATGACCTTAAAGCACCGTTTATATTACAGAGTGTCTGTTTATGTCCCAACACGTGATCTTAGATCTGCAGACACTGACCTTCTGCAAACACCTTCTGTAAAATACAGAAAACACAGAGAGGCCTAGCTCAGTTATTGTGCTTCTAAACTGTGGAACTCAATCCCACCTTTTATTGGAGAGTCAATCTCAGTGCTTGCTGTTAAGAAGCATCCAATCTCTTTAACTTGGAGCTGCCACCTACATGAAAAGTTCTATATCGATAAAATTATTGTTACTATTATATATGTAAGTAATCTCTGTTCTGAGTACCTGCCTTGTTCTAAAAGCAGTCCAGACTGAAATGTGCAGAACTAACCGTTAAGTTTGGACTGAAATCCTCAGGGACATTGATAACAATACTTTAGCCACTGCTTTCAGATTCTTGGATCCTTTGGAAGGCTGCAATGATGCATTTGCTTCTCAAGTGTAAATATTTTCCCCCACTATAGACTTTTTGCAGACTTCAGTCTGACTGGGCAATATTTAAAATAAAACTGGTGTTGGTTGAATAGGCAGTCATATTTTACTGTTTTCGTAGTTTGAACATTAAAAAGCATGAAATCAAAACAGGCTGTGTTTGCAGCTTAATTCAGTTTCCAGTTATAGACTGGACTGAAGAGTGAATAGTACATTTTGATTCAACAGTGTTTACATAGTACATCAAACTGTTTTATTTCATCAAACCAAGGAATTTTGTTTTTCCATGATAAGAATCCTTTGAAATTTGTACTGTAGTTTGTTGTGTATACCACCTCTCTGCCTGTTCATCCAAGCCAGGTAATGGATTACAAGCTCAAGCGTATCTTCGTGCTGCTGCATTCAGCCACATTCAAGGGGAGCCCAAACCTTATAACAGGAGGCAATGGGTTTGATTTAATATACAGTTTTATTTGTTTAAACCTGGAAAATAAACAGCTTGTGCACAGCTGCTCCAAAGCATTTCTATTGGTAATGCTTTTCTATGGAGATTGTACAAGCTGTGTGTGTGCAGTTGAATGCAGTTGTCAACAATTGTTGCACCTTAATGTATATGAATACACTAATTAGAAGAGATGTCTGGATACTTTTGGACATAGTTCCCAGTTCCCTGCCTGTTTAGAAAAATGTGGTTGGTTCATAAAACTATCCAGTGAAATGTGATGACATTTCTTATTGGAAAAATGCTTAAATGAAAAAAAGGTTTTCACAATGTTCTGCTTCTGTATTGTTACAGGGCTTCAAAACAAAAGATGGCTACCTTGTCGTGGCTTCTGGAAATAACCAGCAATTTTTTAAAGTGTGCAAAGTAAGCACGACCCCTTGCGTCTTTCAAATCTTATAATAAAAATATATGCCTGTTTATGCAAGCCTTTGTTTATTTCAAGTCTCAACATTAAATATCTATTTTTCATTATTACTCCTTTACATTTCTGACTACATCCCTCTCTGTTTACTGTGTCCACATCAAGGTTCTGGGCATGAATGACTTGGCAGAAAATCCAAATTACAAAACCAACACGTTACGAGTGCAGCACCGCAAAGAGCTGTTGCATCTTCTATCTGAGAGGTAAGCTGACTCTGTTAGTAATTGCAGAAATGACAACCGCACAGTGGCCCAGAGAATACTGATGACCACAGGCATTCCTCCTGTCGAGTCCGGCCAGGAACATAGTGAAACCCAGAAAGTGGCCAGATGTTCCGCCTCTCTCCTTTCGGAGCACTGGTGATCCTCATTAGGCTGTATCTGTGTTTCCTCTCAGAGGTCAGAGTGTCAGAGCTGGGGAAGTAGGCTGATGTTCCAGACACAGGCATGTCATCAGCTATAAGATTCAGCTCGTGTTGAATAACCTGCAGCGCTGGCCTCTCTGCAGACCGCTACAGCAGAGCAGGCTGCGCACTCAAAGCAGCACAGAGCTGGACAGTAACTAAATGACTAAAAGCCTGGCTTTGCAACCAGGCATCAGGTTTTTTTGATTGCCAAAAATTACTATGTAGTTGCCATTTTTAAAGCCAAAATGGCACACTGGGGTAATTAAGAAATTATGCGGGTGCCATTTAGTCCTTGTAACCATTAAAAAAGTGCTAACCCACCTGAGTGTCTTATGTTTTACAAGGCTTCTTTGCTGACAGTGGCTTAAATGAGTAATGGGGTTGAATTAACAGGGTTGAGTTCTTAGTATTAGCAAATGCACGAAAGGTTATTAACTAACTTCCATGTTGATAGCATGAGGATGTTAAAGGAGACATATTTTACATATATCTTTTTTATTTTACTTTATATTTAATTTAATTTAATTTAATGTAGCTCCCTGTGCTCTTTGAAAGACAACTTTAGACAGCTTTTGAAAGCCAAGCATGCATTACACAGCAATGTTTAATGCAGAAACTCAACTTGCTTTGAAAGAACTTTTTGTTTACATGTTAGCCTTGCTGAAATAATGCCAATTTCCACTACCCTGCTGAGAGGGATTTACCTGTGATGTTAGCCTTAAGCTAACGGTGGTGGTATTTTACAGCAGCTCTCTAGATTAATTGCAGACAGTCTTTACTTTGGATGTTGTAGTTTGGATGTTGACTCCTTCAGTAAAGATTTAAACTCAAAAGCCTGTCTCTGAATATTATTGGAACCTGTTAGCTTATCTAAATGCCCAGCTTACTTTAATAAGGACAAAATATCGTTCTGTTCAGTTCAGCCACAGAGAGCCTGTTAAAATCAACAGAAAGAGTCTGAATCAGTCACTGATTCACTTGTTCATCAGAGACATCCGTGTGTGAAACGACATAGGTGATGGTGAAAGGGAGCTTTTGAGAGCTGAGTGGGCAAGGTTATTTGAGTGAGAAAGGGACAAGCTGTAGAATGCCATGCCTTCTCTTAAAGGAATATACACCAAATTGACAGCAATTTCCCATTTCACAGTTGTTTGTATGGTAGATACAATGACAGTTTTTTTTTATTTGTTTCAATTAATAACTTAAATTCTTAATTTCTATGATTTAGGTACCAGGATTTTTCAAATCAAAGGAATTTTCAAAGTTGCCTCATTAGTCAATATCATGTTAGCACTGAAAATAAAGAAAAAAAAGAGAAAATTGTTTTCTTCTTTCCATGATCTTTCAGGAATTCAGATAATGCATATTGACTTATGTAATGTATTAATTAATGTATTTCCATAACAGGCTTTGCACTTTTCATAACCTATAATGGATGACTCATTAAAAGGAATGTTTCAAGCTTGTGGATGTTAAATGGATTCACACATTAATGCAAAAATTATACAGTTTAAAAAATAATTTAATGGTTACATTTTAAACTAAAGTGTAGTTGTAGTGGGCTGGGATAGGAAAAACAGGGGAACGCAGTGTTAAGTGCTGAGATTTTGTTAATGTTTTGAGTTACTCATCTAAAATGTGCACATTCACCGTTCAGCCATTACATTAAAATAACCTCCTTGTTTCTACGCTCATTGTCCATTTTGTCAGCTCCACTTACTATATAGGTGCACTTTGTAGTTCTACAATTACAGACTGCAGTCCATCTGATTCTCTGCATCCACAGGACAACCACAGAGCAGGTATTATTTGGGTGGTGAATCATTCTCAGCACTGCAGTGACACTGACGTGGTGGTGGTGTGTTGGTGTGTGCTGCGCTGGTACAAGTGGATCAGACACAGTGCTGAATTGGGCTAACAAATTATGGAGAGCAAAGGATGGACTACTATGGTGCTCTTGTATTTGTGAGACATCAGCCACCACTGTTTTTTTCTGAGCCTGTGGTTCTAAATTATGTTTTTCTTTGAATTTCTTTGGTTTTTGTTTTGTCGCTGACGAACATGTATATATGGTTTGCAATATAATTTCCTGTTTTCCCAAATATACCAGAATATTCCTCTTCCCCATTCTAGATCAGAATGATGCATTGACATATATCAGTATATCTTTCAGTGTATATCTTTAAGTGTGTGTGTTGTTGGTTGTGTGGGTGGGTGGGTGAGTGTGGGCGCACAACCATTTGAGCATGTGGCTTGGGTGACTGTGTGTACGATGCCAGCGCTGCAGGGCTGAAATGCACTGGTACTGAATGCGCCAGGGCCACATATGCATCGCATTTTGGGGCATGTTGTTGTGTCTATGCCTTTCTCATTTTCTGTTGTTTTGAAAAGCATGTCATTAGTGGGCTGTCTGTTCTCTGTTCCCCCAGGTTCCTGGAAGAGTCCACTGCTGAGTGGCTTAGACGGTTTGAAGGCACTGGAGTTCCCTGCGGCCCCATCAACACTATCCAGCAGGTGTTCTCTGACCCACAGGTCAGCCTATCCGCTCTCATACTCAAACCCCATAGAGAGTGGCGCTGTCACTCACACTCTGTTCATAACCAAACAGAACAAAGATCCTTACAAAAAAACAATGTCAGTAATTATGTTGTAGTACACTGTACTGTGCAAAATTACAGATAATATTTTTTTATTATTATTCAAACATTCAACATTCAAACAAAGAAAAACACTAATAGGGCTTAATACGTTAAATGCAATTGTATATCTTTGTGTTAGCTTAACCACTCACATCCATTCTTACCAGTGCAACACATACTAACATGCCTCCATCACGTCAGTGCCACTGCAATGCACAGAATGTTCCACCACCCAAATAATACCTGCTTTGTGGTGGTCCTGTGGGGGTGATGAACATTGAAGAACAGGGTAAAAGGGGCTTACAAATGATGCACAGAAACAGATGGACTACAATCTGTAATCATTGAACTACGAAGTGCACCTGTATGGTAAGTGAAGCTAATAAAATGGACAATGAGTGTAGAAACAAGGAGGTGCACTTAATGAAATGGCCAGACAGTGTATTTGTATTTACTTTCCCACACCCAGTTCAGGTAATCAGTACTTTACTAAGTAAAATCAGGTTTGCTGGTGATTGAATTTAGTGAATTAATTAAATGGTTGGGGTAAATCAAAAAGAAAAGCAACCAAACTTGTGTTCTTTTCATCATATAACAACATATCAATTACTTTTCTTGTTACTGTTTAGTATATTGACACTTATTTGTGTTTATTCCAATGTTGCAGAACATTGTACTACCCATACTACCCAGATAAACACTTTTGAAGAATTTTCTGACCTAATATTTTTGCACAGTACTTTATTCACTTTGAACATTTTTGAGTTTCTCACAAATGTAGCGCAGTGATCACTGTAAAATATCAGAGTGAGTGTCACTTTGAACTTTTAATACGTATAATAGCCACAATCTTAACCCTGCGGTCTTTTGGGAAACTGAGCAGACATTAAAAGAGTGTCTACTGCCACTTTCCATTATTGCAGTGGTCAGTGAGGCAGGGGTAGTGGAAGTAAGAGGGGCCAGGTTGATCGTTTTCACTCACATTAGTTGTTAATAGAATCAAAACAATGAAATGTTACTGGGTATACATTGCCCCAGGGGATGTAATTGGGCACCACTGGAATGTGAACCTGTTCACATTAACCAGAGATATAGAGGTTCCTAACACAAAATGATAATTTAATAGAAAACACATGTTGGTAAGGAAAGTGAATTTGCTGGTTTCGTTGCAGTTGTTGTGAGGACTCACTGGCGTGTTGGGACGCACTCCCAAAGCTGAGAGATAAAAATGATGGGGTGGACTCTTCGGCTTATTTTTGTCTTTGTGCCTGTAACAGCTAACTAAAGGTTATCCTATAGCACTTCCACATTCAGCTTCTTTCATTTAGGATGCATACGCACATAACTGCTGCTGCAGGTGTGAATGAATGCTATATTATTACTGGTAAATGGCAAAAGAAAGTATAGTGAAATGTGGAATACACAGAATATTGGAAAAATCGGGCCCAACTGAAATGAAAATTTTGTCACAGATACCAATACCAGTTTTAAGGAGCAAAAGTCCCGATAACCGCTAATATTGATCAATATAACATAATATTCTTACTGACTAATAGTGTTTGTCATTTGTCAGCTGTGAATTATAAAATAAGAATGTGAGTGTGGAGCATTTTTAGTGTCGTTATGGTGTGTTGGTCTTATTTTCAATCAGTTCTCGGCACATTAAGTCCTTTTTGATGTTTACTGTTTAATGAAGATGGTACGTTGTCCTTTCAGTGTGCTAAAGCTTAGGTTTGGGTACATTTTACATGTTTTAACCATGACAGTATTTTGTGTTCAAGTTTATTAGTTCAGCTTGTATTGCTATGAGAAGTGGGAACAACTTGTGATTCCCAGTATGCACTGTAAACAGAAAACAAAAAGAAAAAGTTTTAACTGAAAATTTTCAGTCCTCGTATTTCAACTGAATGTCAGATACAGATTTTTCTTCAGTTAACTTACTATAACAAGTTCAAACACAAAATTCCAGATATTGTCCAGAATGATGAAGCATTGAGATATAGGTCCAGTGGATGGTTCGTCGAGAGAACGCATGCAGACATGACACTATTGATGCAAGTGTTCTTTTTTTATAACTACTTTTTTTATTTTTTATTTTTTTGCCCTTCCTTATCGATTTTTATACACTTCCATTTAGCATCTTGAACACTGCTCATATGTTCTCATATATACTGTAATCCATAGTCTGGTTGTAACACAGTATGTTGTTCCTTGTAACCCAGCTCAAGAATAGCAGTAACCAACTAAATCTTTTTAAAATACACAAAATTAAATCCTCTAGCAGTATTAAATTGAGCTCTCAGTGCACACATTTGGCACGGTTATATCCTCTCACCTGGGTGACTCGGCTATGAGTCTGAATTTTGAATATTTGAATAGTCATGGAAGAAAAAAAAAGTAAATTAGAATTGTGGATAAGCAAATGATCTTCTTGAGTGTCCAGGACAGGGCAAGTGACCTGCGACTTTCTGGATGGGAAGAATTACTTAGTGTCTAGTGATTCTTGTCAAATCGTGCATGTGTGATTCTCACATGTACAGAGGGAACATTCTGCTGTTCCATGAGCAGTACTGCTGTTTATGCTAAATGTGCTTGAAATATCATAGGTATCATAGGTAGGTTGTGAGTTTTTTAAATATTAAATTATTGGTTCTCTGGGGTACCACACGGGGTTATGAGATCATTAGAACGTTAATAAAAAATGTATTTGATTACTGAGGGAATCAGGCCAGATTCAAAAAGTAAGAATTAGCATAGGATCCTGCACTGATGTAACATCAAGCAGGACTACAGTGTTGGTGGATGTGCAAGGTCCAGTAGCTCAAATAGAAAGAAAAATCAATTTCATACTTTAGGGACAGACCTCCTATGACTTAGACCTGGCTATGGCAGTATAACTAGAACCAGATGCTATCCATGCCATGAAATCTCACTGAGATATGCAAACAGTATGTTAAAAACCAAAATGGTGTTTTTGTTTATTTATTTGTTTGTTGTTCTTTACAATTACAAGCAACCTCTGGACTTCCACCTCACTGGACTTACATTATGCCATACACCACAGTCTGTGTCTGTATGGAGTGATGTATCACTAGAAGCACTCCGTGGAATTCTGGCCCTTGCCAATAATGTCTACATCTGGTCATGTCTGTAGGAGTCCGATTCGGTCTTTCACCCCCCACGCCAACACACTCAAGGAAGGAAAGCTCTGTGGAGAGATCAGCAAATCAACACTAGCTGCAAAGACAGGGGGGGAAATTAGCCAGTGGACATGAAGAGTTGACAGTCCAGAGGATGGACCACACCAGTGGCAGACAGAAAACCAGATGGAGAACATGAGTGAGAGGAGATGGGGGGGTTAAGAGGTGAAAAAGAGAGAGTGAGATGGAAAGACAGTGGACGAGAGGAGCAAGGTGAAGACAAACGAGGAAAGCAGACAACTCTATTCAGGGCAGAAATGAAGGTTCAGGTCATGTTTTCCTAGAAAGCAGAGTATTTGTCTGGCTTGATGAACTGACCCACTACATTATCATAATGGACACTTGTCTTTCCCCGTGCACTGACCTGAAAAGGAAACTTACCCAATAAATCTTGAACTGTGGCCATTTTTTCCAGGTACTTCCTCTTCAACTGGATGGTCAGTAAGTTCAGCCTTTTGAAATCTCTACTATACGTCAGCTTTTTAGACAGCCTATAACTCAAGGTGCTTCCTTTCTGTCTCCTTTACATCTTCTCCCTTTAAAGGCAGAGATGATTAAGTATCTTCCTTGAACTTAAGTATTATTCAAGAATTTTTGTGTCACATCAGGTGTTTTGGCTCATTTTAGAACCCCAAACAATACTATAAATTATGTGTGGCAATGTGAACCTGCATGTTCAGATGAGGGCAGCTTCTTTAGATACTTGCGGTATTTCAGTCAGGGACCAGAGTAGAAGGCTGTTTCACTTTTAACAGATGCACACAGAGTGGCCAAATGCCTCTGATAGGATTTCATACCTCGAACATCTACGATATATGAACATTGGGTTTCACTGTATTTTTCTTCAGTGACTCTAGTATGTCTGATACTGTGCACAGGTCATGTCGGCCTTTATTGTCTTCCTACATGAATAACCTGTTTCTGGTAAAAGGGCAGGTGTAGGTAACAGTTATATGAACTATCATCTTTGCAAAGTCAGAAAAACTCTGAACCATCATTATGCTCTCCTAAAGTTTGCTTTTGAGCATCTAGAGCACCAGTGGGGAACTGAGGCCTGGAGTCCAACACCGTCTGATGGTTTTCTTGCTCTAGCACACCAGCTAAACCTGGTAATTAGGAATCAGGTGTGCTTGAGTAGGAACATCACCAAACTGCAAGAATCTGGCCATCCAGGAGTGGGGTCCCAACCCCTGATGTAGACGAAAGTTGCCTGGAATTGAGCACAAGGAATTTCAACACTGGTTTTCTGAACTTCATCTCTTTGAGGCCTGTTTGGACTTGGTCAAATACTTTTAGCTTGATCTGGTGCCCAGTTCAACTAAGTTGCTTATGTGTTTGTAGAAACCCAAAGCCATGTCTTCTTCTTCTTACACACCCCTCACGCTATGATGACCAAAAAGGATTCAGTTTTGAATCTGTGAAATAAACCTTAACATTGCTTCATGAAAGCTGCTCCCAAGAATGATTTCCAGTGACGCTCGCTCATATTGCAATTACATTTTCCTGTGTGTTTGGCATGCGCAGTGTATCACATTGCTTATACATCTCCATAAATCATAGTGGTGACAGCGAGGTTATGTTTTGGTCTGGTGCTGCAGTTGGTGTTTCCTGGCCTCTGAATCGTCGATCAGTGTCTTGACTTCACAAAGCCAGTGGCTGTTCACAAATGAGCAGGTTATCGTCTATCTCTGCGCCAAGCTGCACACCTGGATCCGGTCCTCAGAAATATTAATATTAATGTTGATGTTTCCAATGCACTGTTGCACAGATGTTGGACTTGAATGAAATAGCTAGCAGATGTGAAAATGGATGAATGTTAGGTATTCTCACGGACAAAAAGAAGGTCCATATTCCTTTCCAGAGCTTCCAGTAGTCGATAACTAGATGCCTATTACTGCAATGTGTATGAGAGAGAGAGAGAGAAAGAGAGCTTACACAGGGATCTTTGTTTGCTCAGATTATTCAAGTCAGTTTTATTTCAATGTAGGTCTGTTTACAGCTGACTTTTTACAGCTGACAGTAGCCAAGTTTTCGTCCAGCCATCAAATTAAATTCAAGCTAGGAACTGAAATGTCACAAAAAGTTAGCCAGACAAAATTGCATCCATCACTTTTGTACAAGACCATAAAACTCTCTACATCATACTCATTATTAAAAATATTTCTGAGAAATATAGGCAAAATGTACAAAGAACTTTTAAAGTTAAGCAGCTTCTCATTGTTTAATTTAATGGCTATATTTTACATCATACATATTTAGTTTTATTATTTTTTATCTTTTTATGTATTTTTATTATTAATGTTTCACTTTTTATACTCACCCGATCTGAGTCTTCATTTATTAAATTGGCTTTTATTATTTGATATGTTCTTACACATTACCAATCCCTTGCTCTGTATTAACTCGGCAACATTGTAAATGAGGGGCACCCTCAATGTTCTCCGAGATTAAATAAAGGTTGATTGATTGATTGATTGATTGATATTTTACATCATAAAAGTGTAAAGACACAACTCTCTGACAAACTTGCGTTATTTATTTGGTATATGCATTTATATCTTAATTCTTTTTATTCCGTTTGCCAAAACATGCACAAAAAATGTGGATGGAAACCTAGCTTTTGTCCCAAATCAGCAATCCAGAAATCCAGGGCAGTTCTCTTCAAGAGCAAGCAGAGAGTGAGAGAAGAGTGAGAAGAAACTTTGAGAGAAACCGAGACTCAAAAGGGGAATCCTTTCTGCCCTGGACCTTAAAGGATAATAGAATAATAATACAAATACAGGTATATACTGTCAGCAACATAATTATTGATAAAGATGAGTAATAAAGGTGATAAAAACCTGTCTTTGTGGTTATTTAGCTCAGTCTCCCACTGAAAATATCCGAGTGGTCTCCAGCCCTGTTCCTGGAGAGCTGCCTTCCTGCAGTGTCTAGTTCCAACCACAATCTACCACATCTTCTCCAGATAATTAACTTTTTCTGAAGTCCCTGATTGGTTGGATTGGATGTATTAGTGTTGGAGGGAGGGGCAGCATGTTACATGCAGGTTGGAACTGAACTCTGCAGGAGCATAGCTCTCCAAGACCAGGGTTGGAGACCGCTGATCTAAAGCATATCTAGAGTAAAATCTAACTTTTATTTGAAGTAAGTTTAGCCTAAGACAACAAAAACCTTTATCAAGAAGTAATGTATCATGATGAATGGCACCCCTGTTGATGCTTATGAGCAAAACTAAATCAGGAACTTCAGTAGTCATCTGTGACTTCCTGATAGTAGACTATCATCTAGGGAAGATTAGAAAATACACAAGCTCAAGCTATGTGCTTGAAAATGCCCATGTCCTTGGGGCAATAATTAAGCAGTTTAAAATAAAGTGATCTGTAGCAAGTCTGTCTGGAGGAGGAAGCAAGTGTATTCTGCCCACATGCACAATGAGAAGGATGAGCAGAAAGACAAAAATTTGTGCTGGAGATTTGCAGAAGTCTCCAAAAACTACAATTAGACACCACCTCTATGCCAACAAACTATGTGAAAATGGGTTCTGTGGTTAGATGAGACAAAAATTGAGCCTTTTGGCATAAAAAGAAGGATGGTCATACATAAAAGTTGAGCATGGGGCAAGATCTATGATGTGATCTATGATGGGGCTGTTTCCAAAGGCCATGAGAACCTAATTGGGATACATGGCATCATGAACTCCATGAAGTACCAGTAGATTTTAAATGAAAACTGGTCACCTGTGCCCAAAAACAAAACTAGTGGTTGGATCCTCCAGCAGGACAGTGATAGAAAAGGTACATCCAAGTCCACACCAAAATAGAACAGAATCAGGCTTTTGACATGGCCTTGCCAGCCCCCTGACCTAAACCCCATTGAAAACCTGTGGGTTTAGGTAAAGTGGACAGATCAAGAGTGAGGACCTAGGACCCTGGAGGATCTAGGGAGGTTCTGTACTAAGCAGTACTCTCAGATCTCTTGCTCTCTGTTCTCCAGTCTCATCAAACGTTATAGGAGAAGACTATTTGCTGTTATTTTGGCAAAAGGATGTTTCACAAATTAATAAATGCTGGTGACACAAGTAGTTTTGTTAAATAATATACACATTTTTTGATGAGGGTTTTTGTAGAGTAAATTTAATTCAGTTAAAGGTTAATGTTTATATATATATATATATATATATATATATATATATATATATATATATATATTTTCAAAGTGAAACAGACTTTTTCATTACCTTTTTACTCATGTTTACCAAGGGTGCCAATAACTATGGAGCTGACTGTTATAATATTATAATAATAAAAAAATTAATCCTGTCATTTGGACCCTCAGTAAAAGCAATGGTCCCAGCTGCTTTTATCTTGAATCTTCTATTAATGCCTCAGCTTATCTTTTCCAATTAATCACTTTTTGTTGCTTGATCTCATTTCCATAACACAGTGGCTATTATATGCCTAAACTAACATTTTTCATTTAAAACAGTTTTGCTTACCTTTACATTTGCCTTGGTGCACATGCAGCAAACTGACATGAATAACCTTTTATAAATAACCTGCATGAAAGGGCGTTGCTTTTTGCCAGCAAACATAATTTCTAAGGCAAGCGATTTTCAGCACTTTGAATGATTGCCAAAGGTCTTAAAGCCTGTAAGTTTTCTCCCGTACTCTCGTCTTTAGCCAACAAGAGAGGAGCCTTTAGACATATCCAGCTGCACACAATAACAGATAATTACTGACCTTGGTGGTGTCTCACGGCAGACTTTTCCACCAACCGTTTACAAGCAAAGGGATGTTTCCGGGCCCCGCGGACCTTCAAATGCACCCAAATGAGCCAACAGCCAAGCAGCCGAGTTTAAACAGATGTTGCAGGCACCGCTGACTTCCACAGGTTGCAATACTCTTTTTATTCTCTTTAGTTCAGGCCTGGTTTTGACCCCAGTGATGGCTTCATCTATGTCCAGTAAGGGATTGTTTTTCGGTGCAGTATCTGCATGCCCAACCTTCAGTGAAATTTTCCATCTCTGCCTTTTTATATGCTCATTTTCGTTTGCACAGATTATCTTCTTGTAAAAAAGAAAAAACAGGTCATGCTTGTTGATGTTGATTTTACTACTTGCTCCCTGCTTCTGTTCGCATTGAGTTTAACTGGGCAACATATTATGTTCTTTGTGAATTCTTTTGCTGTTCTTTTGCATTGGACCCTCCTGACATGTGAATGTGTAGTCGTGTCACTGAGTGTGGACGTGACTTATGGTGATATATTGTGAGGGCTAGCTACAGTATTAATTTGTTGGCCAAAGATATTGGGCCCAGATCCATTTTTGTGGTCTTGAGCTCCTGTGAAAACGATAATCCCATTTTTTGGAACTGGATTAGTTCACTTGTCATACGTTTCTTTGGATCCCAGTCTTCAGGACACCAAGCCTCCCCTCTCCACACTACCCTCACACATTTACACTCATTCAGACCCATAGTGACTCTGACAGCTGGAAACTGTGAAAGATCTTGATGGGCTGCCGGGCTTTTCTGTCTGTGTCATCGTCAATAACAGAGAATTATGAGTAGGATTACAGAAGAGAGATGCAGAGGAGAGAAGGGTGACAAATCGATCAGAATCATTGATTGATGGTTGTAATGATGTGCGGCAGGTTTTCTCATCAGTTCTGCGTGGAAATATTCAGTGTTCAGCTGACTCTTCTAATCCCTATCATATTTCTCTTTACACAAACAAAATAAGCTATAGCTAAATGATAATAGAAGAAGGTCGTTCTGGTTCAAGAGCTTTACGGTGGATACATTTCAGAAAAATAACCTGAATGACTTTCCGCCTCTGGGTGTTAGTTTTCCGAGGTTGTGGTTGTTCTTGGACTAAGCGGTACACTTCGGGGAATGTGGCACAAACATAAAGCAACGAGAGGCTACATGTGAGTGTTAGAGAAGGGTCTGGTGTGAATTAGCGTGGAATTCCCAAATAACCGATTTTCCCAAGGACCGAATCCAAAATCTACCTGACCATAATGCTGTTGTATTGAGTTACTTTCTGTGAACTGGCTTATAGATAAGATTTCTCAATACTTAACATGTGGGATTAGGACTGATAAGAATGTGTGAATCTGCTGAAGTCACTTGCGTAAGGTATCATTAATGGGGTTTTGTTATATGCTTTAGTTGTATGTTGTGTCAGATAATTTTTGACTTGACGTATAAAAGCGTTGGAGTCTCATTATTTGAAATATTGCATAAATATCAGTTGTATGTACTTTAAGATCTTAAATCAGTTTTAATCGATGCGCCATCCCTCTCTAACCTTTTAATCCCTCCATTTTCTCTACATTCTCTTTTCTCCATCCATGTGTTCCTCTGGTGAGTCACCATACTGACTGCGTGACAGCAGGCACTTGGGGCTTTTGCTCTGACTGTCTGGGGAAGGAGCTCTTCAGCACTTCCTGGAGAGGAAAAGAGAGGATGAGGGAATGAAAAGAACGAAGAGGAAAATCGTGAAGGGGTGATTTCTCTCGTGAACACTTCAGCAGGACCCGCCCAGTGGTCATAGTCAATTAGCCTGAGCAGCTGCTGGATGGAATCAGCTGATGTAAAAGTGATACATAAGGTTTTGGTTGTCAGGCTCTGCTATGTGGAGCCCGAAAGACCAACGTCTTTTGTAGGCTTGACCCAAACAGCGTATACAGCCTTCGAAAACTTGTTGGTATTTTGGAATGAGTATTCAAATGCTTGTTTTCAAAATCACACTAAAAATAATAATATCTGAGATGTTTTTATTTGTTTTTCTGAAGGAATAGGTATGCTTCCATTTTTTTGCCTAACACACTTCTTACTGCAGTCAAAAGATGAGGCCTTTCCCCCCAGACACGTTTGTTACACGACAGGTGTTTTCTTCACTTTGTGCGAATGTGTGAAGCAAACGTTTTGCAGAAATCCAGTCAAATCATACACTGTCACAGTCTATAGCACCCACTGTAGAAGCTTTGTAGACATTTATCCTGCATTTATTTTACCTTCAACTAAGTATCCATAACATTCATCTTAATTTTCCCTAAACCTTAACACTAACTTTAACTTTAGCCTCGAACTTAAACCTAACTCTCACCCTGGTCCTATTCCTAACCCTGGTACTAATCCTAACCCTAAAACTGTTGAGAATCAACATTGTGTTAACAATTTGAACATCTATAGATGATCTTAGGACAAG